CCAATCAGCGCAAATGGAAATCCTTAAAAAAATTCCTCTGCATTAGAAGACATTTTTATGTGTTTTAGCATCTTGAATAACCAGAACGCAATCGATTATTTTGATTACGCATGATCGATCTTTTTTTTTCCACCTCTATACAATGGTGGAATCGCCGATCGCAAGAAATATGCACTCGAACACGTAGCTATGTCCGTCAATAACTTTCGAGGAAGTGATAATTATTTCCACATTGCTAGAATTTGTGGAGGGAAAACACGAAGTTTAACTCCCCCCCCCGGAAAACCATTTCCGGACTTAATTAACGGCAGAATATTTTTATGGAAAAGATCAAAATATTTTTTTATTGAAAATAAAGGGGAAAATTGGGCATTCTAGACGTAACCACATAGAGAAGTACTATTCCCAGTAGGCTTCTATATTTTTATTTCCATGTGAGTTTTACCAGAGTACTAGTTATAGCAGATCAAAGAATGTTTCCCTGATCACATAGTCTCCAGCTCGTATCCCCTTCCTTTGTTTTCCGATTCTTTAATGACGACGCGATGGGGCAAATATTTATCTTACGATCGATATCTTTCGTTTCCAGCAGTGAATAGAAACCTCGAGGATTTCCCCCTAACTATTATTTTTTCTTTTCTTTCAGTGGCTTGGGTAATTATTCAGATATGTTTTTGTGTTTAAAAGTTATTTACCTGGTTTCCGTAGTGTGGTTTTGATGCTGAGCAATCAATACGAAAATATCTCCCGTGATAAACTTTGGTATTACCATTCAGGCGTACACAAAAATTTTTTTTTGGAGACGTTAACAACTCTTCTGAAAGATTTAATAGAAACTATATCCATAAGGTAAAATAATAACAAGCACATAAATATGTGGAAAAAATTAATATCTATAAGGGATGATTAAAACATTTGTTAAAACTGTACAGAGGACCTAAATAAGCAGATTTTGTAATGGAAGGTGTATACGTAATTTGCGCATTAAGGAGTTATAGGACTATGTTTGGTTTGGTTTTATTAGATTACGGCAAAACATTCGAAAGCTATCTGCCTTAAGGGAGGGATGCCTTCGTGGAGGACTTTCTAAGGGAAACTGGCTCGTATACACGTTACACATGAGGAAAACCACGAAAACGCCCATGCAGCCAGCCCGTTCGCGGGATTCGAACCTCGGACCGAACTACCAGTTTTCAGCGACGTTACCGCTCGGCCGCTGGTGGGCCCAGGACTATGTTTAGCGGTAGGTAAAAGCATTCTGCGAGCGTAAATGGTCATTCGTCATGCAGATTTCAAGCAGTATGCTTGGCTATGTAATCAGGAACCTTGTCGCTGTTGATTTAGCTATTGGGCTGTGAACAGGAACAAATAATACTCCGCAAACATTCCTATGAGTAGCTGCTCCATTTTAGCAGCATCCTTTTAAAGAATGCATATTGGCGCAGTCCGTGTTCGTGTAATATGCATATTGCTCGAAAATCGCACAATGAATGATTATTTATGCCAGTAATACGCTTTTACCTATTCCTCAACAGCATTCTGCCCATCACAATTAGGCATATCCGCAACCACACATTCCATAACAAAATTTGCTTATTCCGATTCCCTCTGCATACCTTTGCATTTTTGCCAGATATTTTTAAAGTTCCTTGTATAATGCTTGAATTTTGGAGAACTATTTGATTTGAAGAAATTTTTGAACACTAATAAATCAAGTTAAATTTCAGTAATTTTCAGAAATTTCTGCTTCTAGGAATGCTAGTTGCTTATATCCGTGTAAGCTGGTATGAATTATAAACGCAGCTTTATTTCTGCAATGTAAGAATAATATTGTACTCTCTCAATTTTCAAAATGTCACCCTGAAAATGTAATCATAGTTCAGTTAATAATAAATCAAATACTGAAGACTAAGAACGTGGGTTTTATGCTAACGTACCTCTTTGTGTACTGCAAATGAAAGCAAACTCACCGATAATCAGTACAGTATTTCCGTAAGTTTAATCAATATTATAACGCTCTGGCTGTAAATTGCCAAACCTCTTTGTCTAAATTTAGAGTTTTGCTTGTTATTTTAAAGTTAATTAATGCAAACTCGTCTATTCCTTCAGTATGCCAATTAACAGGTTAATTTGAATTTCTGGTGGAGTAAAGAAAAATATAGAAGTGCAGGAAAGCTTCTTCATAAGAAATAACGTGTTCATTAGATTAAACCTTACTTAATCGCTACATTGAAATTTTTTTTTTAAATTTCTATAACTGGATTACTTTAAAGTAGTCTCTCATCTTTCTCAAATATAACGTTAAAATGGCATTTTGAAGGTTTCGGAACAATTAAAAAACATCTTTCTTACTTCCCCCCCCCCCCGAATTGTAAAATTTATTGCTGTGATATGGCTAGATATCATTATGATGTTTTACTATAAGTGAAAAGAATAACAGAAACACAAGTTAAACGTCCAGTGAATTTTTTAGCTTATACAGGAAAACACTAAATGTTTAAAAAATGGACACTCTTAACTTGTATCTTTAACAAAAGTAAGATACTTTTCAAGAACGCATTTTATGTTTCTTATAGTTTCTCAACGTCCTTCTAGCCTTTTATTCAAATATGTACGAAAACATTATTATTATTCATGATAAATTCAAAGTAGACTCTTCAATGACCGAATGTATGAAGCAGCTAAACACTTGGTGTTTGAGCCCCGTTTGAATTCCATTGGGTGGGCTGGCTGCATAATAATAGTAAAACCTACCTTCGGAAATAAGTTATTATAAAGCTTTGAGACCTTTATGAACTTTAGAAGCTCATGTCTACAAAATATTTCTATCAGATCTTTAAAAATATCTTTTCTTTTGCTTAAATATTTTCAAGGGTCAGTCGTTATAATGATATATTTTTCAAATCATATTCAGAATAAGATTCGATGTAACGTACTATAAATACGAAGTAGTAGAATCTCGTTTACGAAATTAAAAATAAAGAAATCAAAATTAATCAATTCACGTGATAGGCCAATTATCACGTGAATCGACTTAATCCAATCATATTGAAATGCTGAAGTTAGAATTACTTTTGTGAATTAGAATTTCTGACGTACTTAGTTGATGATAATAAATTTAATTGTTGTGCAGTGCAAACATTTTGAATTAATTTAAAAGCCAATATTAGTATGTTTCCTTTGAAGTCCTATCTATAATTACATCACTGCAACGATCGTTTCACATTTGCCAGAATTAATTCTTCAGAATAGTAAGGACCGTTTAGTGGTCTTGAATTCTGGCCACAAATTAGGAACTATTTTAAGATTAAATTGATAACCTTATTTCACGATATTATAGTGGAATTTAAGCTGCAGACAAGGTTGAGTAGTTTTAACTTTAAATAATTTGCATTGAAATTAAACGAATAATGAATTCAATTAAAGAAATTATTTCGCCTAATGATTGTAATTAAATTAGTGTTTATTGAACTACAGCTTATTATAGTTAGGATTCGTAAATTTCGAATTAAATGGGGAAATAAAAAAAAATCTATTTTAAAAGTTCTAAATTTAATTAGTTATATGTTCATTGCATTTTAGTTTAAAATACTGTTATTAAATTATGTGACCTCTAATCATACATCTATTTACATGAGAATATATACTACAATAGCAGATATATTTAATGTTTGAAAAATCTTTTTTTGGTTCTTTGTTATCATGAAGTATGTCTGAAAAGCTTTTGGAATTTGAGTCTTATTGTGTACATAATATCTATATTTATAAAACATAATAAATGTGATTAATAAATGGTCACCTTTTTTGAGATAGCTCAGCTGATGCTTACATTTAGTTTAGTGTTCGTTAATTCCTTCTATACAAAGTACCTTTTATAAAAAGCGATTTGCCCTGTTTCAAGAGAACTGTTTCTACGTGCGTACAAGTCCATAATGAACTGAATGCACATAGAATCGATGATAGCTTTAAAATTTATTTTCACAATAGAAATATTTTACAGTTCTGTAACTTTACACAAAAGTACTTGTACACTTCGCAAGACTACAGAGTGCAGTCAATAGTTACCACTTCAAAATAATAATAACGTTAAACACAATGCAATGCAAAGCACATCTAAAGAACGAAGCTCGCACGGAGATCTCTCAACACCCCGAACTCAATTCTGAACTAAATTTGGAACTGATGCTTTCCCCGGTCTTATAGTGTTTTCCCCCATCCGCGGAAAAACTTCTAGTACCTTTGATTTCTAGAAATTGCTAGAAGGACTATACAGCTACACTTATATATAGGGCCAGACGTAGTTACACTTATATATAGGGCCAGATGTAGTTACACTTACATATAGGGATCAGACCAACTATAGTTATATACTGATCGGACCAAAATATCGCCAAATGGTCGCCCAAACCATCGCCATCTTGGCGCTAGCCATTTACCTCAATGTTAAATGGACTTGCCAAAGTAACTTTATTTTTTCACGAAGCTTCAATCTCTTGAGGCCCTCGTGTGTCATTATACGAGAGATATTTCAATTTTAGATATAATTTCACTTAAATAATTTACATAGATACAAAATTAGAAACACTATTAATACTATAAAAATATTTTAAATAAAATAGGAATGATATTTCTAACAGAAATATTCATTATTTATATTTCCAAGACTTGTTCGGAATGAATTATTTTGTAGTAAATAAATGGGGAATGTTTTTTGATAATTAAGTTAAAAGATATATATTATTTTACGTAAATATTTTGCAATCCTCAACTCTGATTTTGAACTAAAATAGTTAACTTTTATATTCATCTCAGAGATTTCAAGATAAAAAAGCCTTGATAGAGGCAACTGGAATGTAGGCTGCAGTTGCAAATGACATGTATTACTGATATATATAATATTATGATGATAAAAGAATCTTTTCAAAAAAAGTTGGATTTTGTTGAAAATTGAATTTGTTGTTGCTATTAATTATGTTCCCTTATAATGCATTCTTTTGCAGGTGGTCGTGGGATGCGTCGTCTCTGGTGATGGGCAACAAGCTAAGCTGCTCGTGCGCCCCTTTGATTCGGAAGGCTTACCGTTACGAGGACTCACCGTGGAATAACTCCCGCAGGAGAGATGGACATTTGCTCAGGTTAGCATATTCTAAATGTTTAAAACCAAAATATAAATTTGAAAAGAAGATAATTCATCAAAGCAAAGCCAAATCCTCCGGTCACGATTTTCTCCTTAAGCTTTTAGAACATATATGAAAATCCTTGATAATTCTTGATATCGTATGACCTTGTTGGTTTCAAATCTCTGAAAGTATAATGTCAGGGAGAGGATTTCTTGAAACTGAATCTTAACCGAACCCAACCTTTAATTTTCATCCTCTTGCTTCACTTATTTTGATCATAAGTCTGGTTTAAATCAAACATGCTTACTTTTACATTTTTTGGAAGGGGGGATATGTAACGCCCGAAACTTGTGTACAATACTTGTCCCATTGGTATGCTAGATCAACTCCAGCTGCGGGCTGAAGAGAATGATTTATTATCGGTTAAAAACATTTACTTGTATTCTTAGATAATTTGTAGGATTGTACTTGAGCTGATACTTGAATCTGAATCCTACAAACCTATAAGGTATTTCTCCCACTTCACTAGCGTGCCTTCGTAGTGTAACGGTAGCACGCTGGGCCGGTATTCCAGAGGTCCGTGGTTCGATTCCCGGCGAAGGCGGTTGCACATTTTTCATCTATTCTGCTTCCAATTAACCCAATGACTCTACAAGTGGCGCCCGAACTAAAAGGGTTGTGGATGATGATTCTCCTCACCCAGGATTTGGCGACTAGGTCCCCTAAAAACCTAGTCGCCCTTTAAAAAGGGGAGTATATAAGGTACTTCTCCCACTTCCCTAGCGTGCCTTCGTGGTGTAACGGTAGCACGCTGCGCCGGTATTCCAGAGGTCCGTGGTTCGATTCCTGGAGAAGGCGGTTGCATATTTTTCATCTTTTCTGCTTCCAAAAATCCTAATGACTCTACAAACCTACTAGACAAATAGCGAGTTACAGCTACGTCTGAAAATAGTATGACTGAGACTGCGAAGATTTAAACAACCCTTTTTATCATATGGAATTTTTAACATAAACAGCACGACTTGTGCTACCAGAAAAAAAAAAAAAAAAAAAAACCACCTATTTGTGGCGATATAAATTAAACATTATCATATGCTTAAATTTAAAAGTTGTAAATGTAGTCTAATAATATACAATAGAATAAGTAACTTGGCACGCCTAACCTTACCGGGGAGTAAATTTAAAGAAAACGGGAGAATGCAAAAGCCGGTGTAAGAACTTTTAGATCGAGCTGGCAAAATCTAATACAGTAGGGAGAGTGGCAGAAAACTCTCTTTTTCTAATTATCAAAACCCTCACTTTATGTAAAGCTAATTTGCATTCTGATGAGGAATACAAAAGGAAGAAATTAAAAGAAAGATCAAAATAACAATAATTGGTTAATTAATATAAGAACTTTACGTATTAATAGAAAAAGGAAGTTTTAAACTAAATTCTGAATTTTATTTTATAAAATATATTTTCATACAGTTAATATTTGGGCAAAAATATTATATCAGACTATTTAAAGGCAAAAACATTGGATTCCAATAATTAATTTCAAACTTTTAGTAATTTGTTTTTGTATGGCTATTTACAAACATTTTCTCCAATATTGAAGATAAACAGAAATATTATCAACGTATCATTCCGCCGCATGACCAAAAAGTTTATATTTACAATATGGGGGGGGGTATATAGTGAACTATTAGCGTTCTTTACTTCTGCGAATATGAATGTCATTTAAAACAGAATCAAAGTATTTACCGGGTATGATAATCTTATATTAGGAAAGGATCACCGAGAAAAATAATGTCGCAAATACTTGAAAGATATTGTACTGTGGATAATAACGAAGTTTTAAAGGTTCAGTAGCTTGAAACTAACGAAAGACGTGACTAACATTTACAAGAATTCGTGAAGGTAGAGTTTTAAAAATAATGTGCAAGAGCAATTGAACTTCATCAGATTAAAATTTGACATATATCTGGGAACGCTATGTAGTGATATGCCATCAAGCACAACATTTGACGGTCATTCAGTTGGTACACGTTTACATACATTAAGTTATATATCTTGCTACTCGTTATATTGTCACAGCAAGCAAAATTTTCAAACGGTACGAAATAAGAAAGTTTGAGTGAAATTATATAGAAAAAGTAATTTTTTGAGGAGAAAACGCAGGATCATTTTTGAAGGAAACTAAAGCTTCAAAAAACTGCATCATACTCTTTTTTTAGAAGCATTCTGTTGCAGTTATGTTTTTGAATTTCACATATTCAAAAAGAGCTCATAGCATCTAGTCGAAGTCGAATTATAAAAAAGTGTCTAAAGAATTTCAAGAACATTTTTCGGGGAAAGTGCAGAATCATCCACTGCTTGGCGCGTTTTTAAAATTTGCACATATTCGGTCTCCATGTACACATCGACCTATTTTCACTTACAAAAATCCAGAGAATTGCACAAACTCGGCATTGCGCGCTCCCTTTGTTCATGTACATATCGATCTATTTTCACTTAAAAAGTCAAAGGAAATTCGAAAAAAATTCAGTTCATCTTACTTGTAAAAGGAGCCGAATAAGTGGGTGATTCTGCACTTCTTTTACTTTAGAGCATTGAAGTAAAGTTTGGTGATTATTGGACGGCAGTTATAAAAATAGTTCTCAGAAAATTAAGAAAAATGTAGATACTTTTTAATAGACAAAAGTGAATGAACGTCACTGAATGGTCGCGAAACGCTCCGGACTGACTCCTATAAAGGAACTTCGTAAAGAAGATGTTAAAGAAACACGCCTTAATCTAAAACATTCAGTGATCTTTCTCATAGCAATAGTACAAGTTTTAAATTTTTGTGATAAAATGAAACTTATTAATGATTTAAATCAATAGATTTATCCGACAATAAATAATTCGTATTTAAAATTGATTTTGATGTTAATTATAAACGTGGTGCAATATATTATAAATGAAGTGTAATAAATGTATGTATGTATAAGAGGTATTTATTGTAGAATCATTTTTTCTCTCTTCGATTCCCATGCATGTTTCCTTCAGAAATCAGAATATTCTATTAAATCCAACGCAAATCTAAAGTAACTTAATCTTAAGTATCTTGACGCTATTTTGAAATTAATGTTAGGATTTATGGTTTATTGGTAGAGATAAAATACTTACAAAAGAACCTCATTTAGTTATCTGAAATAATATGGAATCATAAAAGTTTGGAGTTAAATGAAACTTGTACGCTTTTCATTTACTTCTTAGCTACAAAACTTAAGCTGTCTTTGTTAGCTGACTTAAGATGCGTATGTTAATTATGAAAAGTTATGCTCCTGCATTTTCTGTTGAAATTAGACAGAATTATTAATTGTGAACTATATTTAAAGAACATTGAATTCAATTGATATAAAGGAATCGTTTTTAAACTGTTTCGTAATTTTTAGTAAATATTCAATGTTAATACCGTTCACTTTATATATCAGTTTTTAGGTCACGTTTCGTTACTCTTTGATAGAATTCAAATAGGGCACTTAACTTGAAGTTTTAGGAAAGAAATACCTTTCAGCAGTTCTCATCTAACTTCTGTATAATTCGAAAGATTTTCATTTAAAGACATTTAAATATCTTTAACAGACATATAGATATGTTATGCTTAGGGAAAGAAGTAGCAATTAAAATTCGTTATAACTTTAATAAATAGAGTTTATTTGATTTTGACTTCATTTTATTTGATAGACTCCAAATGATGAGTTTATTTGATAGACTCCAAATGATGGCCGAAATTCTACAATTATTAATAATCTAGCGCATATTTATTACGTTAAGCTCAAGAATTTCAAATTCTTAGAAATTTTCCCCGCCCTGTCCTGTCGTATGTATCAGTATTTCAAATTCAGTGTATAAGTAATCTTTCCAACGCCGTTGTTATATGTTTGCTAAAGAAATAAGAAGAATGTTAAGATGATTATATGTAAGAACCAGATGGTTGTTAATTTAATTTTTAAAATGGTAAACCCTACCACTGGATGCTGGTTTGGGGACCACATACTTACAGGAAATGAGTTCCTCTTGGGCAGAAAGATCGTAAAATCTTTGCTACTTATACTGCCGTGTTACTGAAGGTCAAATCGCAGTAGGATGTTTCTAATGAAAGTATGCATTATATACAGTACATAAAATCACGATACTTCCGAATGCCATAAAATATTTTAGCATACTAGTTTTTTAAACCTACAATGCGCAAACATTCATCATTGTAGCATTGTAGCTACAATGCTACAATGATGAAATTGATTCTTGTCCTATGCACTGTTATTAAAACATGACTGACGGTTTTTTAGATGCCTTTATCTTTTAAACTAATGGACACAAATGAAAAATAATACGTGAAACGAAATTTATTCAGAAATGTAATTTATTTTATTGTAAGATATATACACTTTAGCAACATCTTTAATGTACACTGAGGCCCCTCAAAAAAGAGAGGGGGGGACAGTTCTACATCTCCCGTTCCACTGGGCGGATTGACAAAATTTAAATTGCGTTTTTCATGTCTCGAAAGCGTGACTTAGGACATATATTATATTTATACATAGCATTGTTCTAACATAGGTATTTTGACACAAAATCGGACTTTTCTTGAAATAACATATCAAATTTTTTCCGTATTTCGATTCTACGACTCAGATTATGCCTTAATATTAAATTTTGTAAAATGTGGTGTGAAATTTACGGAGAAATTCAAAAATTTACCTTGGCGTGTTTTTTTTTTTTTTTTTTTTTTTTTCAGTTTACGCCAAGAATAATTCACTTAGCGAACTTCTTAATATATGGCAACCGATTTTATTTTCCCTTCCATTGTGCAGGAGCGGAAAAAAAGTCACAACGTTCCTACCTTTGTTTACCATTTTTTTAATCATTTGACTTTGTCGTGTAAAATGAAAAATTTAATAAAATGTAGACAAAAGTTTCATTTTCATATAATTTTTCACCCTCATTTCTAGTCTACTGCTTATTACTTTGAAGGACTGACTTTT